TGGCCTAGGCTGACTGCTTCAATACTTAAAAAGATGTATCAGAATTTGCTGAAAAGCTAATTAGAAAAGAAATATATTAAATGTGTAAGATATTATCTATCAGAATCCACAAAGACATTTTCTATTTCAAGCCTTATAAACCAAAATGACAGTGTGCCTAAAAGAGCCAGCCGTAATGGGACTGTCTTGGCACACATTTTTCAAAAATGATTTTTCCTATTTATTCCCTGAGTTACCTACCGTGGTCTCTTTCTACAGAGCAATAAGAAAGCATTTTTTACAAAAAGGCACATAGATAGCTCATCATTAGATACATTTTTGTTTGGTATATTGCAATGCAGTTTTTGCACAAGGTGTGATAGGGTTGCAAACCTCCCCCTGTAATGTGGCTCGGCAGTGTGCGAAACAGAAAAGTCTGCAAAAGTGAATATTCCCAATCGACTTTTTCCTCAAAACTTGCCTGTGGCCAAAAAGTCTGAACATTGTAAGAAAAAACTCATCCAATAAAGCCTCTTTTGAGGAAAAGGGTCTCTGGGGGAAGACTGAGTTCTTGCAAGTTTTGTTTGGCATTTTAAACTGATTTGCATTGCTAGTTCCTTAGCATTCATGTGATGTTATTTAGCATTTTAGGCCAAATTGTATGAAACTGCAGCCAAACCAATTTCCTAAAATATTTTGACTTATCTCCCACAAAATCATCAGGACTATTGGAATTTAATACAGACAGTCATGTATCATAGTGGCAGGAGAATGTAAAGAGATGAGGACTGAAGGGCATCCAACAAAAGGAAATATCTTTAATATAGCATGAAATAATGATTCATAGGTGAGGAATGGCCTTAGAGGATTGTAGTATATGTATGTAGACATAAGACATTTAAGACTACATGGTATTAAGCAGTTAAAGTGCTTAACAAAACCCCATGAGAAGGGCCTCCAGCAGCAAAAGAGGAGAAAAGAGATGAGGAGGAAAATGAGTCTAACATCTTGAGAACACTGCCAATAAATGAATAAATAAAAAGGGGAGAGAGGAGAGGGCTGCTCAAGGATGTCATATCTTAATTGAAAATGACAGCTTCAATTAAAAATGTAATCATTTTGTCCGTTTTCTAATTAAAAGCGAAACGACTGATAGTTTGAGTCATTAACTTCAAAGAGTGATGCAGCCTGACAGAGTGGGGGAAGTGTTTCATTTGCTGAGAGGAGAAGAAGCAGGCAGATGAGAAGAGGCACATGCTCTCTTGGTCAGTGAAAGAGTTGTCAAATGATAATAACCAGGAAGTAGCAAGTGATTCAGCATTGTCTTGAAGGTTGTTAAGCTTGACAAAAAGAAAAAAACACTTTCAGCAGTAAGTGAATATGCCTATCTTATAGGATAGGATAGGATAATACTTTATCGTTAGGGTACTTCTCTTCTGATCTAACCCAACCCACAGTGATACCAAATGTCTCCACTGCCTCGATGCTTATTACCTGAGTCAAACATTTGATTTTGACATTAGGCCATTTAAGGTCCAACCCATAGTTTTAGTTGTTATTATGAGCCATGAGCAAAAGGGGCAGAGAGGAAAAAGACAGAAAAAAGTAAGATGTGAGTACGCAAGGTAGTTTTTTGCCAACTGGAGGCAAATCCAACAGCTTTTACATTGTCAACTGGCTCCTTTTTTGTCTCACAAACTTGATATATCTGGCCTTCTCCTCGTCAAAGTTGGCTGTGACTTTGCCATTAAGTTATTTCAGGTTAGACAACATGCTTGGCTCAATTGACCTTAACAGTTTAGGGTCCCTATCGACGGACATCGTTCACGTGCTCAACAACACACAATATTTTGAGTGATACAATTTGTCCACGGGGGTGAATCATATTTTTGTTTTGAATTCATCAGTAACAGTGACAAGAAACAGCAGACACTTTCATCTTGATTATTTGATCCTTCTTCCTCGGTTTGTCTTTTGTTTCTTTTTTTCTTTTTTTTCTTTTTTCTTTTTTTACAAATGAAGTCTTTTGCAGACATGTTACTTAAAATAGCAAAGTGTCCACATTTATTTTATTTTTTCTGAATTATACTTTCCACTGTTTGTAATTATTATTCATTTTCTGTCTGTTTTTTTAAGTTCACCTTTGTCTCGTGTTACATGTTCAGAATAAACAAATCAAAAATCAAGATAGAACTTTTTTTTTCTAAACGCAAATCATTGCCTATTAAGAGACGTGTATGATAAGCGACAAATACAGAAAAAGAGATGTAAAATATCCAGAAAGAAATATCCAACAACATTGAGTCCTCTGAGTGGCATGACTTGTAATCATTCCCAACTGAGTGAGGAAACATTTCATTAGCCCATTAGCTTTCAAAATGTTGCTACACTCAGGCAAGTGGGGAAAACAGACTGACTGACCTTTATCCATTCTGTGAACTGTTTCCCTTTCGCTCTAAGCAGCTTGTGCTCTTTTTCATCCCTCTTTTGATCCATCTCACTGCTCTTTAGAACCTCTTTGACAGATAAGGATGGCATCTGTTTTTAATCAAATAAAATAAAAACTACAGTTCATTGTGTATGCCCTGAACTAAAGAGTACACAGACCTAAGTTAGAAGTTAAACCTGATGGACATAGAGCTGCAAAAGAACACATGTCCTCACAAGTTGAAAGAGGCCATCAAAATACATGATAATGTTGTTCAATATTGGCTGAAATATTTCATAGAAAACTGTACACAAGTTTATCAAATCAAAATGAATGCTGGTTTAAGTTGGAGTAAATAAAATGTAATTTGTCATTCTTTATTTACTTCAATTGTCAACTACTTTATATTTATTTTTTTATATTAATTTCAGATAATGCAGCAGACTTCAAAATGAGGAATTTCAGCATTGTACTCTCTCAAACTGATAATAAACATATCATTGAATATTCAGCATTAAGAGTCAGGAGCTGTATCTTTAAAATGGTATATTGGATATGTTGCAGATCCCACTTCCCCTTTAAGCCTAGTCTGACTCGATCCAATCAGGCCACCTTAGCAATTAAGAGGCCTGCAGCAGGCCATGCTCACTCCTTAAGTTTGCTTCACACTGCTGAGCTGCGTGACAGGCTGCTGACAACTCGATTGTGACTCTGATGCATTATTTCAAGTTAAATCATCTGACTACTACGCTTGTCACAAGTGGAATCAAGTTTGTAAAGAAATAAAGCATGAAGAAACTCTACTCTGGTCCCTGCCCTTTCTAGATATATTTTGTCTAAGTATTTATATAGACGATGATCTGGCTGTGAAAATTAAAGCAAACTCAAAGTATAATTGACAGATTTCTACTATTCATATTATTGAATGTCTTTAATCATCAGACTCATTTTCTTGTCCTTTGTAGAGTTTGATTGTTTGAGGTATTTTTTTGTGTTTGCTTGGTCTTCTGACTCTGAATGAAAAAGAAACGTCTGGTTAGTTGCTCTTTTTTTTTTTTTCTGTCTCAGCTGGGCAGTCTGAGTGAACAAGGCTGTCCCTGACACAGAGAGATAGGGCTGTGGGGGATGATGAATGGGGCTGTTTGAGAATGCTACTCAGATCAGCCGCTCTCTCCATTGTGTCTGTCTCATTGCGTGAAGCAGGGAAAGAGGTGCTAATGCAAAGTTAACTGAGTTCTACACTCTATCTATCAGCATAATTGAATCTTTATAATTGCTGTTCAGAGGTTGGCCAATAATAAATTGGAGGAACCGGCTCTGTATATTGTCAAGTCGTCTTTGTTCGATACCACAGAAGTTGGGAAAGGACATACAGTTGGCCAGAGCGAGTTTTATATCCTACATACTCTGTAAAGAGATGTATATCTAAAAGGCAGACTAAACTGGACAGAGGAGGCACTGTTATCTCATAATTCAAGTTGGCAGCATCAAAATTCAATTCTATCAAAAAAACAACTTCAAATGTCATGTTTTCATCATTGTTCACCAGTCTACATTTTTAGAAAAAGAAAGAAATACTTAACTCGATGGACATATTGAAATTCTTAAACAGGTAAAGAAAGAAATTAAACAGAAGTTCTGGCAAAATTGAAAACTACACATAAATGTATCCATTTTTAAAGGACTGAGTGGAGCTTAAGAATGATTTTTATTGAACAGGAGGCCCTTTTTGACTGCATGAGAACTGAAAGCAAAGCAAAGCAAAGCATAGTGAACAAGGGGCCAGTGTAAGGCTGCTAAATGTGTAGCTGGCCACAGGCCTCTTATCATCAGACATGCCAAATCATGCTGCTGCTAAAGTTACCTGATGCTCCAAAATTGTGGAAACTCTCACCGCCTGAATGGGCACTGTCACACTGAAGGAGCACTAACTGATTTTCACCACTGATCACACATCCAAGTACCAGCACACACACGCACACACGCACACACACACAACACAAGTAGGCATGTAAGCATCAAAAGACACACAGGAGCACAATACATACACACACTGGTCTGGATCAGATCTGGACTGTAGCTTGCTGTCCAATTGAGTTTGCAGGTCCAGTAGCAGAACATAATGAGGTTTTCACACTGAGACACTCCAGCCAGAGAGCGGTGGGTGAGGGCGGGTAAGGGGGAGTCAGTGGGTGTGACAGCGAGAGAGAAGGGGAAGGAAAGAGAAAAGGCACTCGATGATAATGTATGAGCTGTCTGCCATGCTCTATGTTGGGGGAAAAGAGTGCAGTGTAGCATTAAAAAAGAAGATTATCATGTCAAGATACAGTAATACCTCGGTGAACACTGATTTTCATCGTTACTGGTGCTCTGCTCAGCCTGTCTGGGTGTGAACACAAAGAAGGGATAACCAGGAGAGGGAAGGAAAGGAGGAGTTCCAGGAGGGAACGTGAACACTTCATGTCATGTCACAATAGTATCCCATTCCTGCCTTGAGCCTCCCCGCCCTGATTGTGCTCACCTGTGTCTCGTTATCCCCTGATTGTCTGTGTGTATATATTCCTGTGTTTCCTCCCTCATGTTGCCAGTTCGTAGTGTGTTCCTGTGTCACCTTGTTCCAGCAGTTTTCCTCGTAGACTTCTAGTGATTTTTGGCTGTGCCTGCCTTACCGTTTTGCCTTTTGCCTGCTCCCTTTGGATTTGTTTGCCTTGAAGTATTACCTGCCTGCGTACCGACCTGGACTGTAATTAAACTCTGCCTTTTCCTGAACTCAGTGAGTCTGCTTTTGAGTCCCTGTAACTATATCTGGTTCTGATAATTACAGTTTTTTCCAATTGCTAAAGCACTAAAATGACATGCATAGCACAATTATTTAAACTGATACACAGAGAGCAAAACCTCTTCTCAAGTCTCCAAAAGTCTAAACACATTTTCTGCTTTTCACACATTTTGCAATTTAAAATGGCACTTTTTAAATGCACTGAACACGGTTCTCTGCATAAGACACAACAATCTGACTTAAAGTCACAGGTTTGCCATTTCAAAACACTGCCATTCAAAATTACAGTTCATGAGCTAATTGGTCAATGTATGTACCACCTGGACAAACACCTCAATGGTTAGTTGTTATCACTTCAATCAGGAAGTAAGCACTATGAAAAGACTACAGGTGAGCACCTTTTTTTTTTTTTTTTTTACAACAACAAGGGAAGAGGTTGCAGAGAGAGAGAGGGAGGGTGAGAATGAGAGGGGGAGGAAGAGTGAGAGGTAGGGGTTGAGCTGGTGGAGGAGTTCATGGCCAAAGAAGAAAATAACTTTAAAATGAAATCAGAGCAACCTTCGTTGATCATGTCATCAACCATGGGCTGACAATATCCTGCAAGAGGCTGGACAGAGAGTGCAGCCCAACTTGAGCTGTTTTACTGTACTGGTGTATGTTGCACTGACTTGTTTGGTGATGAATAACAGCGCGTGTGTATCTGCAAATATTTCTGTGTATGTGAACAATCTGAAGAATTTTCTACAATTCAGACTATTTTAGTATTATGGCAAAGCACACTAAAGATGAGAGTGCTTTTCATTATGCCCAACAGTATGTAGTTGGTCAGACAAAAATCTGGTAATATGAATGAAGTGTGTGCCATTTGGTGCAAAAGTTTGATTTTGATAATGCTACATGTAGTTTTGGTTGCAGTGCTTCATTTTGCAGGATATGAGGTATTTTGCAGTTTGGGTGTGTGGTTTTGTGAATTGTGTCAAGTATTTTGATAAAACCAGCCTGGTTTGCAAAATAGTGTTTTAGCAATTGGAAAAAACTGTAACTCAAAACAAGAATCAACATCTAAAGGTTTTCTTTGACGCAGTCATATAGAATTAAAGTTACAGTTATTAATGGAAAAAGTTCAATAAACCTAGCAATGTCTATGGATTGGTACTGAAGGCAGGTAGCCTTCCCCAGAGTACCATCATTTTGGAAGTGTCCGTTCCTATTAAAAAGTCGACAACATGAAACTGTTGCCTCTGTTGTGTCAATCCTGCAATTTTATGTGTGTACACAGAGTTTGAAGAAATCGCTCCAACTGTATTCTGTCTCTATTCCAGGCTCCTTACAATATCCAGACATATTGGCCACTGCACTGGCTTTCCATGAGGACACTGTGGGTAGACTTGATATGGAAAACCCAGGCTGATGCTAATAAACAGATGTTTAAGTCCTCCGGCATTAATAGTTGTTGAAGTGCATGATTGATGCATCAGTCAGTCTCCAATGACCTTCTACCCTTAAAGTATATAAAATACCCCTTTTAACAAGTTGTTCTGTCTTTCCTTATTTTCACTGTTCGGACAATGACTTCTCCAATGTTGGCTGGAAAACTTAGAGCAATGAGAGGGACCTTATTTGCTGTTACAGTAAACAAACTTCCTTTAGAATGTGGCTCCGCACTCAAAGTAGTCACAAAGAAACCTTTCTGGGACTGTATACAGTACACTATGGGATGGAATATACCACACTTATCCACTAATACATTGCAACTCTTAATAAAATACCTGCGCTTGACATTTTCTTCAATGCTCCTCCTTATACTGTTGGTTATTCACAAACGCTCTCCTTCATACAAGTATCCTTTGCTTAAGTTGTATCTTTTGACGGTACCTCTTATTTTGTTGTGTTTCAGAGGATTTCATGAATTCAATACATCTGAAGTTGTTTACTCCTTTGTCCTCTGATGTATTTTACATTGTTGTACTTTAGTTACATAATTTCTATTCATCACAACTTAAAAAAGCTCCATGTAGAGATAGCTGTAATCTCCATTTAAAGGTCTGTTAATGATCCATCCCAATATTTTGTGCCTAGAATCATTCTTTTCTGTCAATATGTTCGCAGCAAATGCTTTAGATTCTGTAATTTCTTGGATTGATATGCCTGGACAAGTGGTTTGTCAAAGTTCTTTCAATGGTATTTGTGTCACATTCCCAGGGTCCAGAATTGTACGGTAAAATAGTTACACACTATAAAGTGATCAGGTAAGACCACCAGAGGACAAGTGTTGCTTCAGTCTATCAACATGGCACTTGAGGCCTGAGTTAGAAATATTTACATTTTCAGAGAAGGAGCCTGACATGTAGATACATAAGATTAGTCCCTCCTAAAAGTTAATGCCACGTGAAAATGACAGGCTTTTTCTCTGAGCTGTGCACCAGTAAGTGATTCATCATTGAGGGTACGATGTCCCAAAAACATCAGATAGTAATAAGGAGGAAATGGTACGAGGCTGTACAACAACATGTTGCTTGTGTTGATGTTTACCTTTAATTGTCATTTACTACAACTTTGTGGTTTAAGTCATCTCCACATTCATTTGCTGACACACTAGGAAAAAAAAGATTACATTTCTGTTTAATTTATGGAGTCTGCATTAACCTATCTCCTACCCCAAGAGATTCACTGCATCAGCTGTGCTTCAAGCTCCACCCACTTGTACCTTGAAAAATAATTTGACTGCCAACAACAAAACCTTTGATTACCAAAGTTGCCAGAATTCAATTACAACAAAGCCAGACTGTATCTACATCTTCCCATGGGTCTGTCAGCTCCACAAAACACAGCAAGCTGGGTTTGTGACCACATTACGAAATCTAGTCTTAAGCCCTTATACATTTCAAATCTGCAACAGTGCTGTAACAAGTACCCTTTGTACATTTACATGAATCCACAGTGGTGTAATGTCAGCGTGGTCAGTGTTTGATTTTACATTGCATTTTGGTATTGTGAAAACCTTTGTGACATTAACATTTGTGTGAGGCATTACAGGGGCAAAAGGAGCTATAGATTATAGTAGCCCCTATGGAACAATATACTTTTTATGATTAATAGTTAATTTTCTAGTCCCTTGCTGCCTTCAGTAGCACTGCATACATGCACTACCTACCTCTCATGGAGTAACTTGATTCTGCAACAGATATTTTCACAAAACTTTAATGGGTTAAAGAATTATATTTTGCTTCTGTAGGTGCACGAGAGTGTGCCACACCATGTAGCCCAAAACCATAACCAGAAAGCAAAGGGAAACTCAATTTTAAAAGGGGAGACCCCAAAATCCTGCACAAGTTTTGGTTTGCTTTGGGGAAGATGGTCCCTTCAAGGAGAAATACCATAAACTGAACAAAGAAGAATCCCAGAAAAATGGCCCGACACTGAAGAAGATACATTCAACAAGTGTTACATGTTAGAGAAAAATAAGCTTATCTAACACAGTGAGTACAATAGCTGAGATGGACATAGCATCACTGAACCTGTGCCAGTAAGATAATTCAGGCAAAACTTTACATGATAGCCCAGAGACCGAACTACCCCTTCTGGTTCACTCCTTTCACGACAGTATCTGAAGCACCTGCCCCCCTTAGTGCCTGAAGATTCAAGGCCTGATTGCGGATCAGTATACTATATCTTAGATACATTTGCCTGAGTTTAATGGACATGCAGTTGGCAGGACATAAAAAACCCTTGTGCTTGTCAAGATCAGGTCCTAAAAGGTAGGGTTTCCATTGGGGTTGGCACATATCCTAAATCTCTATAATGTCCTGGTTTTAGTATTCCTGCAATATGAATAGCCTGGTTCTCTCAAAACACACCTACTGTATCACTGGTGTGCAGTTTTAGTTAAGTGATTATATTGTGCAGACTAGACTGTACAGTACTTGTGGCCATCTTTGGTTTAAGTCTGACAATTGCTGCATGTCCGTCTCAACTCTTCTCCCAACATGTAGGCCTACTGTTTCTTTTCACTGTCCTATCTAAAGGTTATGAATTGTTGCTATACAAATATAAAGTGATTGATTGATTGCCGAATGTTGATCTTATAGGATCCCTGAAAATGCCAGATGTCAACTCTTTCCCTCTTCTTTAACTTGGGTGATTGTTCTTTGCCTACTGAGTAGAAGAATATGCTGTGCCAAAGATGTTCTACTGCTGTGAGTTTAATTTGGGTTGTGCAAAGACTTCACAACATGAGTTCAGGTGACAGACAAGACAGGTCTGGGTGTAGCCAATTATCACTGGTGAGTTGGATGATGTGAACAAAATTTCAATGAAATCAAAAAAGTTGGAGTCATTTTAAAATCCAGAAGCCCCAAAGCTTCCCTGTTGAGGTTTGAAAAAAACCTTTTTACATTTCTGTATATTACAAGATGTAAAACGGGTGATTGATTCCTCACCAGTACACAATCCAATGAGCTAAAATGCTATTTCTTGTCTGAATAGCAGCAAGCGTTCATCTAGCATATATTTAGTTTTACCGTCTGGTTTATAAGCAATTCCAAATGGCCCAAATGGTGGCAAAATGTGCTCAAATGTCCCATTTGGAAATTCTGCCTTAAGATGCCTCTTCTCTAATCTCTGTCTTTTTTCTGTTTTACTTTATTTTAATTACTATCAACAGTAATGTTAAGATGAAGATCTATGGTTTCCAATAGATTTCCAGAGTTAACAGCTCCATTTTGAAGGGGATGTTCATCCTTAAAGTGTTTTAGACTGAGATAAAATCTTCCATTTATGCAATTTTCCATCTGCGTTAATGCTGATTTAGTAAGATCAGTACTGGTTCTTAGACCTTTGTGGAAATGTCTGAAGAGTTAAATTTATTATGATATTAATAATAATCCACAATGTAAAGCATTAATCAAGAATTGTATTACTTTGTGTTCTTTTTTTTTTTATTGATACAGCAAATCCATGAGCATGAGGTAAGGGTGGCTTCAGCTAAACCACATTTAAAAAAATGTTGAGACAATAATAATTTGGAACAATAAAGGTGCAATTTCTTTCAGGAAAACATAAAAAAATCAGGAAATACAGGTCAAATTGTAGCACAACAAAACTACTTAAAATAGCAAGCATGTTTAATAGTAAATGTAGCACAACAGGAAGCAAAAATAACATTTATTAGTCACTAGTTATAGTTCAGTGTCTGAGACAAAATGAGCTCTACACTTTTGATGTTTTGATACCAATTTGCATTTCAGTTTTCACTGACTTAATTTCAAATTGTTCTATACTTCTGAATGCAACGGTCAGCGGTTTCAGTATGAATGGGGGGGAAAGGGCTGAAGAATGTCAGTTATCAACTTATACTGACTTTCAAAGATCCATCATGCAACCAAGAAAAAAGAGAAACATTTATATTACAATTCAGTTTCCATGTAGGAAACTGAAGTGTAAAATTGGAGGATCATACACCAACAAGTATTTTTTTAGTCATTACTTGCTGACTGCTGAACCTCAGCATGGCTGCCTGCCTCCGCATGAGAGTTCATCATCAGCACATAGCCCACAGCCAACATACTCAGCTACGTGGTCAATTTGTCAGTTGGATAAGCACAGCTTGAGTACGTCAGCTAAAACAAACCTTTCTGCAGACCTAAAGTTATAACTGCAGAACCACTGTTTATAACAGGGACACTTCTTTATTTACCACATGTATATATATAAAACCAGTAATTGTTTAAGTAGTGACTTCAATGTTTTTGTGAAGTTCTTGTCAACACAGATACTTTTTTTCAATCTTAATTTTTTTCATCCATGTCCATCTTATTTTTAAACGTGATAGTATATCCTCTATGTGATTCTACTCCCAGTTAAGCTCCTCTATATATCCTCCAAGTTTCCTGGTTCCTCCCCCCCCCTCATTATTTCCCAGTTTCATAATGGCTCTATTCTTTTCCATGCCTGTACTTTAACACTTATTAGAACCATATCCTCTGCATGCTCGCTGTTTTCTTTCTTTTTCCCCACACCTCTCTAAGCTTCTGCCCTCCTCCTCAGCCTTTCCTGTGTATGTGAGCCAGTCTACTGTTCTGCATCAGGCCGGGTTCTGCTCCAGTACTTCTCTCTCTCTCTCTCTCTTTTCAATCTAATTGATAGCTGACTTTGACCTCAAACGCACCTTGTCCAGAATGTCACTCACCATGGTTATTTATAGTAAGTAAACTTATTTTCTGGTTTGTTTCTAAATAAATAGAGAGAACTGTCTGTACATGTTCCTGATTTCCTGAGTGCTTAACAAGCCTCCAGGAGCAGCTCTGGCAGTGCTGCAACTTTAGCACAGTGGTGACAGTCTTTTAGTTTATATAGTGCAGTCTGGCTCTGAAAACCTATTAAAATCCCTGGCTAAAACTAAATAACATACAACAGTTATTCTCTTAATCTCTAACAGTTATATTTTCATAAGCCACCATGAGTTTTATGATGAACCTTGTGTCGTTTACATTGTCAGGCAGGCTTAGGCAAAATCATAATTTTTTCTAAGTAATATTCATAACTTGTGCAAATCGTAAAGATTTTTCATTCTCTTCCTGTAAGGTCTCCACATTGTCCATTGGAGTGATATGTAAGTAACCTTTCTACAAATAATAACAGGGGATACTGACTGTCAATCATATCTTCATTTCTCTTGCTAGAGCTCTATGGAGGAGATGCTTTCTTGACTGCTGGACATTTTTGTAGTACTGGGACGTTGCTTTGCTAAATTTAGTTCTCTTTATACGGGGTAATCCATTATAATTCTACTATTGTAGAAACTTATTCCCAGCTCTCATAATAGAAACACGTACAGAATCACACACTCAGATGCTCTCATACAACAAAGATTTGGATTTGTAATAATTATTTTGAGTGCTCCATTACGCACGCACTAGAGAATGTAGCTAATGATTCCACCTGAGAAAATAAGTCGATAAATGTTTACAGCCTACCTTCCAAACTCACAGAACATTAGTTGACATAGATCCTGCCTGATCCTGTAGGCATACATGGAGGTTTTAATCATTGATGAGGATACGCTTTTGTGCCTCTTGCGGAAATATTCAACGTGTCTTTCTGATTGTTTCTCATTTGGGAATAATTCAGCGAAATATAACTTCAATACTCCATCAACATATTTCGCACACAGTATCCTGTGTGTGTTCTGTGTGTTCAGGTTTACAATGAAAGGAGAGAAGTTAAATGAGATGGCTAGATTAGGTTTATCTATAACTTAACTGAATGAGAGAGCTGACACTGATTGGTTTGATTCATAAATGCATAAAAGCTGTTGTTGACAGTTGTTGTCCCTCAATCGTTTGAGTTTAAGCTTTGGCTCTGTCTTTCTACAACCGTCTTTTCTGACTGAGGGAAATGATGGAGCAAATAAGGAAGTCTGTCTTCTGCACTGATCCTTGAGCACTTTGTAAGAAGTAATAGACCATTTGGAGTTTGTCTTGTCAACTCCCAGTATTGGTGACTATCAAGAGTGTTTTTAATGGCAAAGCCTAAACCATGGCTCCTTGCCTTCAGGTTTCACTTCCAGATGAAGGTACAGTATATCCACCTTTGAGCTCCTTCAGCTGCCCTTCATCCGTTACCTAATTTCAGAGAGTACTGCAATATCAAGTAGATGCTAAATAGGGCTGCTTAGTCATGGGTCTAGCTGCCCAAAAGTTCTTTCTGTCTAATTTCAAGAGCTTAACAATTGAATCAAACACCCACCACCTGTGTACCAGGTTGTTGCTAGGGGCTGTCAGACTTCACAGTCCTGCCCCCTCGCCACTTTCTTATCTCCACAGGACTTTGAACTGCCTCGCCTCCCTTTTGGGAGGCTGTCTGTGGGTGATGTCTTTCAACCTGGAGAGGATGATGCACCTGCAGCCACCACATGGTGCTTGAAAGAGGAAGGCCAGGTTCCAATGGCATGAGCCCATGACAATTAGGGACCTCTCTCTGGAGCAGCCTTTGCTGCTGTTGTGACTGCTGTCATCCTCTGCCAGTTCACCCTTTGAGGAATTGGTTGGATCAGGTTCAATGGAACACTCAAACTTCTCAACCACGGCAAGGAGGCAACCCAAAGGAGAAGAATGTTTGAAGTAATCATAACCCAACAAATACCTTAACATTTTCATCAGAGCTGAACCAAAACAAGGCAGTATGAGCGCTGTGTTAACACTGATATGGTCGAGGTAAATTATATAATCATTATTATAAATAGACAGTACATTCATTGTGGCAATTCTGCATTATGTTAATCTGTTCATACCTGAGTTTAAATATTGAAACACCCATCTGCATTATTATAAAACAGAAACACAACTCTTCTCACAAACTCAATACGACGGCCCAGGGCTAATTTATCTTCTTGTCAAATGACTGAACACACAGTTATCCAAGGGTTAACAACTCAATAATGAAATTGTGCCTGTGTTAAGTGTACTGTGAAAAGAGGTAATAATCATTTTAGAGCTGACTAAGATTAAAGTTTGGCTAAGAGCCAGTCTTACTCTGTGTTGGTTGTTAAAGAAGCTAATTAAACTCACATGAAAGCCTCTTCTAGGGTGCCAGAAAAGATTCAACACCCTTAGGTGTAGTCTCTCTTTAACTACAACATACATAAAACAAAGGTAGACTCCATGCACAGTTTGTAAAAATGTAAGAAAAGGATTTCGTTGGGAGAGATTTCAAATCGGGGCATATATTATAATCAAGGTTTCAGTGATGGATGTTGTGAAATAGTAATGATACTGCTGGGGATTATTAGGAGCTTCAGTCTCTTTACATGCAGCTCACAGTGTGGTCCCAGCTTAGCGTGAACATTGAGTCCTTGTTTGTCTGAGCATTTCAAACTTATAATTGTTTATTAGTAAATCAAATGTGAAATATTCAGACAGTAAATGTGGTGCATGTCTGTAGTCTCTATGTCTTAGAAAATCAAATGACACATCAATGCAACAATGAATGATGTAACACAACAAAGACTGGACAGTATTTGTGACTCTGGCACGACCTCAGTGTATTATTTTCATAATTCCGCTCTTTTGGATAATCAGTATGGATAAATAATTGACCAGAATAAACCTAGTTTCTTGACCCTGTGAAACCCCCCCCATGAGTGTGTCCATGTACCATTTAGGTTTTTTTACGTTTGAGTGCAAAGTCTATTGGTCTGAAATGTTTTAATGTGAAGTGAAGCAAGAGCACAGCTGTGCCTTCAGGTTCCTGCTCTATGACATGCGTATTTACACACACACACACAAGCACACGCATACACATACACATTTGCTCACTCTGGCAGCTTCCTCTTTGCCTGGCTGGAATTTGTAAGCCCTGGGCTTCTGTTGCTGAGGGGAAACCAGCTGCACACTCATCCAATCCTCCTGCCTCTTCTCCTCCTAATGGAACAGCCTGGTGCACCCCTATCCACCCCTGCCAAAGGAAAACATTTGGTACATCCCATCAATGCTTCTCTAGCTGTTTTGTTACTGACTCAGTAGTACCATCAGTAGTCAGTCTCACAGCAGCTTCAACGCACTCATACATACATACACACACACACATAGTGAGGACGTAAAAGGAGATAGTTGCAAGAAGGAAGCAAAGAGATTCTCGGCTAGTCTCTCTTCTTTTTGTCTCCTGTTTTTTGCATTCCTGATATGACCCTGTTCAGCCCAAGATGTGAGTATACTGGAGATTTGGTTTCTCTGTGTGAGTGTGCATGCATGTGTAAGAGGATGCTTGCATGCAGAGCTGAGATTCTGGAAGACAATATTTCCCCCTGTGTCCCTCTTTTTTGTGTTCTCCCCTAACATCCTCTGCCATTCCTTTGACAAGCTTTTATTTTCACAGAATCAGTCACGATGCATCTTAATTCAGAAGTTCCTTTGTATTGAGTATCCAGTTTTGTTTTTGTTGTCTGGCATTCTTCATACTAACACATTGATCCAGATGATGTTTAAGAAAAGGATCATTGAGATGTGTGAGGTTGATGTAAACCCTGTGATACATTAGGAGGTGATCAGGGGAAATTCATGGCTTAAACAATCCTGCACAGGTACACATATGATCAAAACTCAACCTGTCTTTTACACACACACGGTCAGCACTTGCTCTCCAGTCATGAAGACTTAGTCATGCTTTAGTTGTAGCAATCTTTATGAGCTCAATCTAGTATTTTGTTTTCTTTTTACATTTGGAACATTTTCGAATCAGGGAAATTTACAGACATGAAGGTGTAGAAACTTTACCTCCTTAAAACTTTCACACCAGTTAAGAATCAGAAACTCTACAAGCCAAAATGCTGCACCTCTGCTGGGGAAGGAAAGAGTCAAATGACTTTAACTCAGCTAAGGCTTTCTGGTTTGTTTGCTTCAATTTAACTCAGGTGATGATTAGCCATATTGCGCCCACTCTATTTTCATTAGTCTTGCTCATTTTTCTATACTGATCTCTACCCTCCTCTTGTCACAGCTGCACTCTCTTTATCTATTAGGGTTAAAACTCTTGTTTTATCTTGACAGTAATGCTTATGGTTAATCTGCAGTGAGCTTCAGGGTTGCTCTAAGTCTGACCTGAGGTCAGTTGTAGTTCAGGATATGAAGGAAATGCAGCATGACAGAGTGCAGAGCCTGTCAGTAACAGGCATGCCCACTGCACTTTTTTAAAAACTAACATATAAACTATCTCTTCTTTATACGTAGATTAGCTGATTGTGCCTGGATTAAACACTATGTAGAATCATCATCAATCAATCATTATTTGTATAGCGCCAATTTATAACAAATGTTGTCTCGAGACGCTTTACAAATAGCAGCAGAAGAAGCTGTGAGTATTATATCTAATCCATATTTGAAACTAAAGCAAAATACAGGATGCAAACAAGAAGTGTGGAATACAGCATACAGATGTGTGATACAGAAAACAGATCATTGAATTAATTGGAAGTGTATGGTCTTAAACGTCTATCTAAAAAGTAACAATAATGATTTCTTCTGAAAATATATACAACTCAATTTATGAAAGTCTTTTTTATGTATCTTATCTTCCTAACTTTTTTCCAATCTTAAATAATTTTAGTAGTTTTAAGGAATGACATAAGCAGCATAGATCAAAGGACTGACATAATTAACATGGGATGTACAACACAGACAAGAAGAACCAAAATACAACTTACTGAAACATCATTTTCAGCATGTAATGAAGTCGCTTCTGAAATCTGCCAAAGCCAGCCAGAGTGGGATCAGTATTTCAGTCCCAGTCGTCTTAGTGTTAATGGTTGTTTCATAGGCGTTCAATCAAAATTGCTTTGTTTCTTGTTTTGTCTTTTTTGATTGGATGTTTTTGGAAAATTATGATTTGTCAACAGGATTACAGAAGATTGTGGGGTTTTATAAATTGAAATTTGCCTAAAAATATTTTTCAGTCTTCAGCTCAAACATTTGGGTTCTGTTTTTGAAATAAGCTCTGTGATTTTTCATGCATGGAAAAAATAACAAGGCAAATTACAAAAGACAAATTTCGGGAGGAAGAAAAACTCATTAAGGAAGACAAAAAAATGCAGCAATATTTTTATCTGATCATGATATTATCCTATCTCGCCCACATCAGTGACTTCAAAGTGCACAGATTAATAGAACACAAAGGAGCAAATTACATATCCTTACACACAATAACGTGTTTCATTTCAAGGCAAATTGTGTTTGCATTTTCCAAAGAAAGAAATGTAATAATTCAGGGGAGAAACGGTAGCATGTCTGTCTGTGTGTTACACAGATGATGAGGCTACTTCCAACAAAAGGTTGTGAACATAATTGCATGCTCTGCACGTATTCTTTAAATACATGTGTTTATGCAGAGTTCATACTCTGCAGAAACACATGTATTTAAAGGCTTTCATAGTTTTTCAGTCTTGAATTTTACATTTGCACAAATGACGTGTGTGAGCTGAAAGAACAGGGTCATGCATAGCTGGTTTTAGAATCCAAGAAAACTGCAGCAGATGTGATTTTGACTGACAGATTAAAGAAGACATCCAGTCCAGAGTCTCTTTGGGTACAAAAACTGATCCATAATACAATGTTTTAATGTTGTTGTCTCATTTTTACTCTTTTTGGAAAAACAGTCTGGCACTCAGCCTGACGTCTGTTGATACAAAATGCTTTGACAGATTGTAGGCTGTGAAAGGGGCTGAGCTTTATAACTGACATTTGATAAGCATGTGACCTTGAAATGTCCTTTTGATGCCCTCTGCTACTTTTTCACAAACCGTCTGCTTGATTTCTTTATGATGAATCTTTGCTCTTTAAGCTGGAGTCTCTTAGACTTGTCCCTGATGAGCAGTGTGTAGTGAGCTTTATCATACCAATGTCAAAAAATGATGTTATTATGAAACGTCCATGGTAATTATTATCAGCATACATAGTTTTCAATAGTAATCCTATGTGTTTAAGTAGCCATGGGAGGGCCTAAATATGAGAGGCTCACAAAAAATTAAATTAATAATAATTATGCCATCATTTTAATTCAACATATCCATAAACTTTGCTGAACTGAATATTAAAAACTAAAATGTTTTGGGCTTACAAGAAGGAACAGAAAGACAACTGTAAAAAAAAAAAAAAAATTCAAAAAGAAATAAACATGGGGTGCTGGACAGCCTAGCGGTTATGTCGCGCGGCTAGTGCCCCATCTAAAGGAACTATAGTCCTCTTCACAATGGCCATGGATTCCAAACCAACCTCAGCCCTTTGCTGCAGGTCATCCCCCACATCCTCCCTCCAACATTTCCTGTTCACTTCAGCTGTCCTATCAAAAAAAGGCAAAAATGGCCAAAAATAATAGCTATAAAATATTAACATCCAAAAGCTATAACCCAAAGATTTAACCAAAACATATAGATTTTTACATTTGTTAAAATGTATGTTTGTGTGTAGCGTCTACATCAGAGAAGCTAATGGCTCGGAGGATTGTGTTCACCGATTAGCTGTCTGATTACCTCCTGAGGTTTTGTTCCTGCAAAGCGAGACAACTGTGCTCAGCGGCTTCCTCCGCTCTCTTTCTGTGTAATGGTTTCCTCATGCAGTCAATCATACAGCCATCATGCTGCTCAGCAAACACATCACAAAACTCTGTTATGTTTCTTTCTGCCACACGATCGCTTCAGCCAGAACCGGATGAGGAGCTGTTTTTTTTTTAAGATTTGTTCCTGAAACACATCAGACTGTCAGTTGTCATTTCTTTTTCATATAAAAGTTGGAGAATACTGTCAGATGAAAATAATACTATGTGGTATTGAATTAAAAAAAAAGCATATACTATCGGGGTAGGCGAAGTGCTGAAAAACTAGTTTGAGACAAAATCAATAACCATTTATTTTGTAAGCACACAAAATCATTAAAAGTACCATGAGTGATTTTCTGGTCTCAGAAGATGTATTAAAACTCTATAAAGGGATTGAAGTGGTTTTATTTTGAGTTAAAATAACAAAGCATGCCTCTGCTATAGGGCCTTATAGTTTACCTGATTTCATTTTACAAACAAATGCCAGTTTAAGTCACTTTCATACTGCCCAATTAAACCTTTTTTAAATGTAAAACGGGATTTTATTATTACTTTTGTATATGATGCTGTTTGATATTTTTCAAGCTAAACAGTTTAAACCTGTTGTGGAAGTTGATCATATCAGTTTGCTGATCTTTCCTTTTGGCATTGTGCTTTTAATTGCCTCGACTGTTGTTAGAGGTGTTAAAAATACCTAAGAAATAATCATTCTTCTCGCTGATGGTTTTGTTTGCTTTTGCTGTTATTAAAGAAACATACATCTTTTTATTTCAGCCTGTTTATTGACCATGCTAAATCTGATCACAGAAGCTTTAAAACATGACCCTACAATATTTATTTTGTATATATTCCAAAAACTGCACAGTTATAGTTTCTGTCAATGCATGCATGACTAGCTCAGACATGTAACAGTGAGCGTGTCAGCAGCAGGGGCCAGTTCCTGACCAGCAGAGACACTATTGGCTGCAGAGAAGCCATCAAGCTGATCTCTGTTTGGCTCAAAACTGTCAGAAAATGATCTCTGCTGCAGGAGGTAAAAGCACATACACGTGTCTGAATTTCGTTTCACACATTCAGAGCTATACTAAATTAATTGTGGCTTCCAGCTATTTGACAGTCACGCTCTGTGAGTGTATGTGCAGCTGGCCCAGTCACACTCCATTCACCACCCATCTGTCCATGTCAGACCGGCCTCCTCTTCCTCTCCTCTCCTCTCTCACTCCTGCACTTTTTTCCTCTCTTTTACACTCACCTTTGGTAAATCGCTGCCAAGCTGTTGGCATATCCTGTAATCAAGTTGGCTTACGCTTAATTTTTCCTGATTGGAGTGTGGTTATAGGTGTTTGCTGAAAAGACACAAAAAAAAGAGAGGGAGAGAGACAGGGTTTGGCTTTTGAGACATGTCGGCTGCACCAGTTTCTTAACGTATGCTTGCAGATGGGAGACAGAAATGGAGGCGAACAGCTGGCTGGAAATGGCAGAGGCAATCAGAGCAGAGCCATTTAAGATGCACTAGAAAAATGCAGCCAATGTCAGACTCAAGTGGCCCTTTAGTCATTTTCCTGTCTAAGGATGTCAACGACTACAAGAGAAAGATTAAACAAGACTTATTAAACAGGTGACATGTGGGCTGAATCCAGCAAAGTAATGACCAAATGTGGCCCATTAAGAAATGAGCATATAGAAACACTTCATTCATTAAAAGGCTTCAACTCTGGCTGTTTAAGTAAAAAGATTTAGGAAAGGTATAACTTAATAGCTTAAGATGCTAAATGCAACATTGTGTTCATACAACTCAATCTATGGATTGTTTACACAGTTTTACTTTAAGAAGATCATCAAGGCTATTCAACCAAGAGAAAATGTGGTTAAGAGTGGAGCTGCATTTATTTGCTGATAACTTTTTTATAGAGATTAATCAAAACTGAATCTTATTTAGATGAACGCCATTGGGTTCCAGATTGACTTCTTCCACCTTGCTCTCACAGAGATTGTTTTCCTGCATACAGCCAACAGTGCTAAAAACCTGTAAACAGATATTAAAACAGGTACCTGTGTATATACATTTTAGTTGCAGTAGTGTAATACAGAAAGGTACAGTAAAACTTCAAATGGTGAGTCAATATACAGCTAATTGTTAGTCGTTGGTCTGACATGCGTAGATTGTGGCTTCTGAGTTGGTTGGACCTTACAATGGTTTACATTGTTGTTATATTGGAAATCATAGGGTTCAAAAAATGTATGGCAGTTATATGAGTTATGCTAGACATCGCTGTTGTAAACACAATCATGTGTGTTAGAAGAAGAAACCTTGTGCACGGCACGTGTCCCACCGTCGGATCTCTAAATTCATTTGGCACTTAAAAAAAACTAATTGAACAGACTTGATCTAAACATTTTGTTCTGTTTGGTCTCTGCTGTGTTGTGCTATGATTTTCGTTACTGTATCCATAAAAAGCTAATTGGTTGCTTTTTCCATGCAGACACGAGCATGAGTGGAGAGTTGAAGTCCAGCCGCTCCAGGGCAGCGAGTAAGAGGGCCAGCAACACCACTTATGGGTGAGTACAGCACACACACACACACACACACACACACACACACACACACACACACATAGACAAAAAATAAATAAACATTTATTATTTGCTACTACCCTTGATCTATAACTCAACAGCTGCACCTCAGAGTTGAGATCAATGAAGCATTATTGGTTATTGGCTTCATAGCATTTGTGTATGTAAGCTGTTATTGATTTTCACAAGAAGTGCTGTCGGCATCTGTCAATGTTTTAATCAATCTGTTGATGTAGTGCACACAGATGATTGGAGCTGATTACTGTTTTATTGCTAGCGGGGCCGTGGATCTACACTAACATTAACTGTGTGCTTAGGTAGCTGGTGAACGGAGAGGTGAGGGGTGGGGGGAGGCAAGACAGGGTGTGGGCTTGTTTAAACTAATTCATGGCTTCATTACTCTTACCTCCAAGACTCTGCTTTAACTACATCTCTCACTCTGGCTGGTGTGTGTGTGTGTGTGTGTGTGTGTGTGTGTGTGTGTGTGTGTGTGTGTGTGTGTGTGTGTGTGTGTGTGTGTGTGTGTGTGTGTGTGTGTGTGTGTGTGTGTGTGTGTGTGTGTGTGTGTGTGTGTGTGTGTGTATTGTCAATTCTTTACTCTTTCCTCAATTTAACATGGCTTGAGCGCTTTTTATTAGTTGTGCTCTGGATGTTCAGATCGTTCTAAATACACCAATGGATGTGGAAAAAATAAGTTATTCTTTAGTAATACTTATTCTCAAAGAGCGGAGACAAACATTCGCAAAAGATATCAGTATATTTCTTTTTCTCAGGAAAATAATCCTCAGGTAAATAATAAAATAATAATGTTATTCTGTGAAAACACCTACAATACATTGTTTTCTTTTGCTGACAGTAGAGATAGTGAGAGAAGAATTTATTACATTAAAGTAGCTGAGGTACACATAATAAATTATAATTAAACATATTGACACCAAAAAACACAAAAGGTCATGAACAGAAACTAGAATAGGAAATGTATGTTAACAGATATAATAACATCAATGCTAACTAGTTTGTCCCAATTAAGCAGATCTCATTATTTTTCTATATTCTGTCTAAGTAGAACTCCACATATGTTTTCAGCTACAGGGTGAACACATTCCTGTCAGCTTAATTTCCTGTCCATCTGTTATTTTCATCATATTCATGCAGTTGTGTGTGGAGGAATAAATATCAGTGTGTCCTTCAAAACAGTCAATCCAGCTCTCTACATGCTCCCTCCTCCGCTCCCTCTGCTCCGACCATTTCGGGCTAAACCTTAAACCCCCACACGTTATTTATTTGTCCATTCCACCATGTTGTTATTCAGCAGCGTGCGGCCATGCATTAATGAGGTTAGTCATACAACACACACACGCACACACACACATAATGACTAACCACAAATGGAACACACCTGAGGTATCAGACCTGATATAGCCTGGGCCAACATGATTTTTTTCACAGAGATGACATGGATTTCAAGCAGAACAATTTGGCTCCCTGTGGCCATTTCAGGTTTGTGGACACATCCAGTGATTCACCTCAGCTGAAAACCTGTCCAGCCTGTTAAAGAATTTAAAGAACTTTATTCCACAGCCAAGCTATACTGAATGAAGCTGTATATGCATTGCATTTCGTGCGAGAACAGCGCTTATGTCAGCATGCTCACAATAAAGATGCTGATATGCCATTGTGAAGTAGTATATTGTTGACTTTAATTATAGTCTTAGCTTGACATGTTAGCAAGTTTTGAATTAGCACCATGGACTGCCTGTCAGAAGAAGGCGTATTCACAGAAATGTTCCCCTTTACAAGCCTCAAATTCTGCATTTTGGATATCTCCATCTTTGTTTTAGGACCAGACGTGACCACATTTGGATGACAGAAGAACATTTTTTGTTACTGTATGTCTTTACCTTAATTGACATGTTGCTTTTTCAACCATAGGTAGCCTTGCCTTTAAGCATAATCTGCTTCATTTATGTTGTTTATATCGGACCAGAATATCGGACCAGAATTAACACATTAACACATGCTTTATTGAAGAGAACTTGAACCAGAAACTGAGACCATAAAGTAATTGAAAAGTATTCATTTGGATCATTGCAGTCACCGTCTTCAGAAGTATGTGAAAGAATGCAGGTTTCACACTTCTGAATTAGCTTCACTTTAAGATAAGCTACATCCACTTTCACACCAGACACAAGCTGAGGCTGTTTGAAATGTCATAATTATTGCACATTTGTCATTAAATAACAATGAGTTAGTACATAAAAGTCTTGACCCTGATGAAGTGAGTAGATACAACTTCCATATTCCTGGTGGGAAAATGTTTTTTAACAAGAACATGGCAATCCATCCATAAATCTTAAGAAATTTAAAAAAATGTTTAAAAAAAACAACCTCTGTAGGGGAAACACCAAAATCAACCCCTGGACACCATGGATGTAAGGAATTACATGGAGACCAGGGTGAGACAAGTTTATTTCAGTTTGGACGAAAGTGGACGAACACTCACATCATCATCCAAGAAGCACTTTGCAAGAAGGGCTAAAATCATTAACGCATCTGAATGAAATGTCAAATAAAAAGTGATTAATATGGTTTTGCAGGCATCCTCTAAATGTTTGAGCCTTCAGATATTGAATACTAGACAAGCCAATCAGCATGACAGAAAGAGTAACTATAACTACAGTAAATAGTGAGACTGACACCAAAAATCTCTCAGTCCAGACTCCAGTAATCCTGCTCTGTGCTGTTGGCAGCAGTCTAAACCGTCTCTGCTCTTCCCACTGTTCCCACACAGCCAGCCAACAAACACTACTGCCTGTGGCCTAGATTCGTTTGCAAGCAAATTTTCCAACTAGCATGTAAGAGCTAAACCAATGCAGTCATGCACATGCAACACCATGTGTGTTTTTGCAACTTTTAATTGTTTCAACTGATCAAGCTAAAAAATAAACCTTCCACTTCTACCTACAATCTATCTCATTAAAGCGTTTTAATTGTGTTTTTTTTAATTTACCTATTGTCTAAGGACTTATTTCAGTTGCAACGTATAAGTCTTTCCCCAGGCCCTTTGCTCCAAGCTGACCCAGACAATATTTATCAGTTATGGTCTGTGTTTTTTCTGACTGCAACAGGTTCTCTCCAATTGAGTTAGCCCCAGCTGTAAAAGGGGGACAGGTTGCAGAGAGCGGCAGCATTTCACAGCCCAGATGCTGCAGCTGATTGGAGCAGTGGCTTCTGTGTGCTCCAATGCATGACTACAAAAGCTCACTGTACTGTGTGGCATGTATTAGGAGGCTCAGGTGCCAGAAGAAGGACCCCAGGGGCCTATACGTGTGGGAGATATGATTGTGTGTGTGTGTGTGTGTGTGTGTGTGTGTGTGTGTATAAACCGTTGTTTAATGACCATAGCTGTATGGGTTAAACAAGAAAAAAGTATAATAATAATACATTATTACTATTAGTATTATTATAATTAAGTGGACAGGAAGTTTTTAAAACTAACCTTGTATGGGCGTGCCCGATGTAAAGAGGCCATAGTCCTCATCTCAACGGCTGTGGCTTTGTTGCACATCATCCCCCACTCCATCCCCTCCCAACATTTCCTGTCTCTCTTCAGCTGTCCTATCCAATAAAGGCAAAAAAGGCCAAAAAGAATAACTTTGTTTGGATGTTATTGATTGCTTCCATTGTTTTATTGCTTGACCCAGTACATTGAATCCATCCTAGACAATTTGCCGCAACATTAGTGACAGCTTTTGAACAACTGCAGAAAACTTTGATGGTGACATTTTCTTGGTTTTGGCTAACGTCATCCTTCCCTCTGGCAGAGCAATGTTCTTTGTCACTCTTAAACTGTAGCTTTTTGTGGAAGCCATTGTATCTGTATAAGCTGAAAGTAGTTTGTTAATGGGATTAATTGGTATCCTGTCAATGCATTGAGTTGCTTACCCTCAGATACCCCATACTGCATTTGGGCAGTGTTTGAGACATTTCAGACGTGTCATACTTTGTTTAACAAATCCATTACAGAAGAGACAGGGCAGGCTAACAGTAAGACTACATCATATTAACAACCCATTAAATACTGTACTTTCAGACTGAAACAAAATACAAATTCTTTGCTCAATTGTCTGTTTCCTTCCTGAAGTTTTGACCAAACTTCTGAGGGATTCTTTACTAACCTTTGGCACTGCTTAGTCTTTGGCTGCTCGGTTGAAGCTTTCTAAATGTCCTGCCTGTGTTCAGAACCATGCTCATTTTGTGATCTGCTCTTTCTGCATTTCAAGAAGAAGGGGACAGGTCTGAATACAGAGTGGCCCTGAGCATCTGGTCTCGGGTATTTTTGTCTATTTTATCAATGCGCTTCATTCCTTTTAATATTCTCTCTCCTGGTTGAATTATCAAAAGGGCTGGTCATAGAGGAGTTTGATTTAGGCTGGGAGCGATGCAGCAGCCCCATCTGTCATATAGCCTCAAAGAGGCTAATAGGGACAGGATAGATGTTGTGATGTGCACTGTTCACTTGCCAGAGCAGTCGGTGAATATGTCCAATCTGTTCCATGTGATCTGATATCAGATTTAACAAAGATGGAAAGGAGATTGACACTAAATGGGTCTCATAAGTAGGCTGCCTTAAAAAACATTAAAAAAAAACACTTTTCATTGGTTATGGAAACATAGTATTCAGCGTGTACATCACTACAAAGAAGTCTGATGAAATAGAAAGAATAATAATGTTGAAGAGCAGTGAAAAAAAAAGTCAACTTGTTAAAATCATAATCCAAACTGTGTGGTGCATAAAAATGATTTAATGTTCCTTTTTCAAATTTGACTCATTCAAACACCAGCCACCCTCACTCACCACTCAAGCAGATATAGTGGCTTTTATTACTTCAAAAGGGTATGTGATGGGATCCTAGAGACTTTCCATTGGCATTGTTTCCATAGTGCTGGCATGTAATATTAGCACATTCAGTGCCACCTCCATG